ACAACTCATGTGTGACTCTGGCTTCAGCCAAGCCACACATCAATGATTTCATGCGAAAAAGCCTAAAGAAACAAGTCACAACTCCCCAGCAAGGCACAGGAGACACTCTCTTCTCTTTGTGGCTCCATCCCCCTCTTCAATCCCCCACAACATCTGCCCTGCTGAGCTTCCATCCATTCTTTCCCAAGCCTTCAGGCTCTGGCACAAGCGGTTCTATCCCTTCTCTGTGGACAGCCCTCCTCCCCAATTCCCTGCCTAAGAAATTCCTGCTCATCCTTCCAGAGTCAGCTCAAATGTCACCTCCTCCTGAAAGCTCTCTTTGACTTCCCAGAACTTGAGGCCCTACCAGTCCCTTGCACACACCTCTGTCTTGGCATTCTTCAGGTCTCCCTAGCTGTATCTGTCTCCCAGACTAGACCTTTGCAAAGCTGGGATTCAACTGCAAACTGAGAAGCTTCCTTCTTGGAAAGCTGACCATCATTTATTCTCTGACTATCCCTTGTCTAGCAGGCCATTCAGAAACTGTTTGCTGAATCTTAAAAAAAAAAAAGAAGAAGAAGAAGAAGAAGGTCAGACATGATATTATTCTTTAGGAAACATGTTATTTAACTCAACCCTGTGGATGCTGACAAAATATAAAGTGTTGGTACATATTAGCATGTACTTAAAACTTGGGAAACTGATGTCATCGTGCATCTTGACTTTCTCAGTTGTGGTGGAAACATTTACTTAATTATGATAAAAGAAACAAGACTTCAGCAGAAAACATAACGGGATGAGACCTGTTTGGGTGCACAAAGGGAGATCTACCAAGTTACTGGCTTCTTCTGTCATTGTTATTTTTTAATAAAGACAACCTGAAGGAATAATATTTCTATCTATTAAAGTTTGTTTCTCTTCCAGGAAGCTCAGGTCCTCACTGTCTCTCACCCAGACTATAATTGTCCCTTAACTCTGATCCCACTCTCTCCCACCCTCCCACCTGCCCCCAACCCCCATTGTGGCAGCTCAATCATGGCTCTGAGTCTGTCCCTTTCCTGGCTCACCAGTTTCTTTTCTTTTTTTTTTTTTTTAATGTTTTATTTATTTCTGAGAGAGAGAGAGCATGAACAGGGGAAGGTCAAGGAGAGTGAGGGAGACACAGAATCCGAAACAGGCTCCAGGCTCTGAGCTAGCTGTCAGCACAGAGCCCGACACGGGGCTCGAACCCACAACCGTGAGATCATGACCTGAGCAGAAGTCAGACGCTTAACCAACTGAGCCACCCAGGCGCCCCCTAGCTCACCAGTTTCAAGGACTCCCTGCGGGGTCCAAACTCAGCTCCGGGCCCATGTGACATCATCTCCCATTCACCAAGGGAGGCCCACTGCAAGAAAGGTTTGATTTTCAAGAACATACTCCACGCTGAGATTCTGTATGAACAGGTACACACATATATACTCATACACATTTATATATACAAACTTCCACACACATGCGTACACACAGCACTGACACAGAAGTGCTGCAGGATGCAATCACCCCCTCCCCTACACAGAAAATTCCATTTCTATCTCTAGATCGAGCTCAAAGCTACTTCCTAGGAAAAGTCCTCATGAAATTCCCCCAAGAAAACCCCTAGGAAACAAATGATGAAGACAATGTATGACAATCTCCTCCAGAGACTTAGGCTAGAGATTACTGACAAGTCTTCTGCAGCCTTCACTCTTTCCCCTTTTCCACATGATTCTAAAAGGGAAAATGCCCAAGACTGGATGCTTAGGCAGGAAGGGGGGTGCGGGGGGTGTGTGTGTGGCCAGGTGTGTGTGTGTGTGTGTGTGTGTGTGTGTGTGTGTGTGTGCGTGCGTGAGTGCTACAGAACTCACTGGGAGAATAAAATGATGCCTAAGTGTGTGACACAGGGAGCTGGTACTGAGGGAGGCAGGAGGTGGGGCCCCCAAAGATAAACTATGGTAGGAAGTGGCACTGGAGGCACCAAAAAGGAGAATCTGTGTCCCAACAGCTTCTACTTCACACCACAGTAACTCGCAACTGAGACCTGATGTTAAAAACAAACACAGGGCCTGGCAGATTGGGGGGGGGGGGGGGGGGGGGCGAGGAGGCATTCAACAGCCTTATGGTTTCATGTCTTATCCCCAACAACTGATAAAAAGAAGCTGCGCCCGAGATTAAATGGGACACTAGAAGCGGGTTTTCCTGGATCCATGGGGGAGAGGCAGAAGGAAGGCTTTGAGGTGTTCAGGGCTTATGTACAGTACACCCAGCCTTCCGAAAGCTGTCTGGCTGAAAATAACGCCAAAACCAGGCTGCAATCCGACTGCCTGACAGGAATGGGGGGGGGGGGTGTTGCCCCAGATGGGGAGACAGCCCCACACAGAGGGCAGAGATAAGGGGATCTAGAGTCTCTGCATCCCAAAGCAGTTCCAAACAGAAGACCCAGGGGGAGGGTTAGGAAGAAGTCACTTTACATTAGTGGTGCTCAAAAGTGTGACACCAGGATCAGCAGCAAAGATCGCCTGGGAACCCATTAGAAATGCACATTCTCAGGACCCACAGCAGGCTTGATGAATCAGTGTTTTAGAGAGCCCTCCAAGTTCTGGTTTGAGAACCACTGTGGAGAGTGACCTCTGTGGCTGCCTCCTCTCTTTCTTGTTGAAAATAAAAAGAACATCTGGTAGCTGAAATTCCTGTCTCTGGATCGGAACAATTTCTCAAAAGATCAAAGGTCTCAAAGTCACAACCTAGTAGGTGAAATGCAGCCAAGAGAGATTAAAAAAAAACAACAAAAAACAACTATCTGCTAACCTCACTTAACAGCTAAATCCCTTCATGGGTCCTCACTGTGCTCAGCTTACAGGGTCCTTCCTAACTGGGCCCTGATGCCCCTCTGGGGTCCTGCTCAATTCTAACCCCTCAATGCCAGCCACAAGAGCTTTACCTGCATCCCTTAAAGTGCCAGGCTTTCTGCAGCCAGCTATCGTTACCACCCCTCCCACACACAATGGCCCTCCCTGACCACCCCCACTTCACCCCTGCTATAACAGCACTCCCATCACAGAACTCATCATACACACTGCAGCCTGGGCCATAAAATTCATGGGGGGGCTGCTTCAGCACTCAGTAGGGGAAGGCACAGAAAAGACCCATTAAAAATATTTGATGGTGAACGAAGCCAACTCTTAAATACACTTGACATTCCAGCTATAAAACACATTATCCCTCAGTATTTGAAATAGTCTTAATTGTGATTAGGGGGAAAAATGCTTACTAAAGTTTTGAAAGCCATTAAAGAAGATTTTCGCAAGCAGCAGAACCACAAGCAGTGGGAGAGAAAGATTTGCCCACCTGGGAGGTGGTCACGGAATAGCAAGGGGGACACAGGAGTCCAGCACTATTTGCTGGGAATCTCTCCACCTTCATAGGTGGGGCCTTGCTCAAACCAACCATACCCAGGAACTTCAGTCTCCCAAGCTAGCACCTAACCAAGCCTAAGCCATACATAAGGCAGCAGGGAGCCTCTTTGGTGTTTTCCTCACAGATCAGCCATAAGCCTTTGATGCTGGGGGCTCTAGAGAAACCTCCCCCTCCTCCAAGGCAGCACCTGGGGAGACCACCTGGCTCCAAGCTTCTGGTAGGAAGCCCAGAGTTCATGCTGTGGAAGTGTGCCCCCTAAGTGGTCCCAGGGGGAGGTGGAATCCCTTTAGCAGACCCAGGTGGGAGGGGAGACTCTCAGGACCTGGGACCTCAGAGAGAAGAAGCCAAACAGAAAAATTAAAAGAGGGATATCTCTTTAGTCCTCCCGCCTAGAAAACAAAAAGATCCCTTTCCAAGCACCAGCTGGCAGGTAGGAGCCTGTCTCCCTTCTGTCTGGACATCCAGTCCTAAAAGGAGCTCAGACTCTCTATCAGTCTTCCCCAGCCCACGCCTGGGCAAAAGTTTACCTTTGGGAAAATGTGGGGGTGATGAGGAGAACAAGAGGGACGTCAGCCTGACAGACATAGCAGGGCACTGGGCCTCAGATATAATCAAAACACTGCCTTCCACCATAAGTAGACAGAACAAGTATTATTTTATGGGGAAGGGAGGGTGTCACAGGAGTGTGAAGGGGAAGGAGAGGGGCCCAGTCTGGCTGTAACTGATCTGCTTCAAAGAGAGGGATCAAAATGGCCTAGTATGTTAGGGAGGGGGAGTTGTCATAAACGCATCCCCTTCATTCCTGGGACAGCATGGGGGTGGGGGTGGAATCAGAAAGGGGTGAGGAATGGAGAGGTGAGCCTCCTTCCAGCCCGACAGATTGACTGACAGGATCTCCTTCTGTGCATGGTGGAAGGAACTGGTGGGAGGAACTGGTGGGTCGAAGTGGACAGATCCTGGAGGCAGCGCATTTCAACAGGAAAAGCACGCGTGGGGGTTCCCGGTGCAGCACCAGTACAAAAGGCCGCTCGGATTCGGCAACCTGGCGCGAGGCGTGGGGAGGGCAGGGCTTTTAGAGTGATTTACAGATACACGTTTAAAGACAGCCGGTCCGGATCTGCCACCAGAGAGCTGTTTAGTATCGGGCGAGTCCCTTCCCAGCTCTGGACCTCAGTTTCCCATCCACAGAATGGGGGAGTGGGGGCGGGCGGGGTAAAGAAGAATAAATGCTCTTCTAACTCCGTGCCAGCTCTGATTTTCAGACTTCAGTTCTTGGGGGACGGAAGGGCTGGCTGGGTCTTTCCTGGTCTAGGTTGGTAGGATGCTCTCGTCAGGCTACTTCCGAAGGGGTCACCTGGTTGTGGGCCCAGAGAGAGAACGTTTTAGGAACAGCAGCTAAAGAGACTGTGTCAGGAGGCCGAGGATCCAGGATTAAGCGCGTGCGAGGGGGCAGAACAGGCCAATAGCGTGGGACCCCTGACCTAAGGGTCCTAGCCCCAAGCTGATGTAGGAACCAGAGCGTTGCCTCCGTTTCCCTGTACGCACAGTGTCTCAGGAGCCTGGGGTGAGACCAAGGGACCCCTTACCTTGTCCTTTTTGCCGGCCCCGCTCTCCTCCGCGGTCGAGGCGGCACACTTGTTGAGCAGTTTCTTGCTACCGCAGGCCGTCGGGCTCCAGGTGCGGCCGCCAGAGCAGGCCCCCCCCGGGAGGTCTCCGGCACCGCCCGCGGCGCTCTCCACCTTGATGAGGCGGTGCTTCGGGGAGATGTAGCGCACTTCGGCGGGGGTGGCGGGCCGCCGCTCGCTGCTGCTGCGGTAGAGGTGCGGGGAGCCGGAGGACGAGGACGAGGACGCGGCGGCGCCTGCGCCAGAGGAGGCACAGCAGCAGCCTGCGGCGCCCGACGCGGACGAGGCTGAGAAGGCGCGCTGGCCCCCGCCCGGCTCCCCGCCGCCGCCGCAGTAGTCCAGGCGGCACATGGCGCGCAGTTTGCGCAGCGAAGAGCCGGGCCCGTTGTAGGGGTCCTCGAAGTCACGCTCCTTCTGTGCGCGGTAGGCGCGGATGAGGTCGCTCGTGCTGCCGCTGTCGTCGGGCAGCGATCCCGACGAGGTAGAGAAGCAAGAGGCGGCAGCCGGACCGCAGGACGCCGAGGCGCCCGCGGAGGCTTGCGGCACGGCCTGGGGGGGCTGCGAGGGCCGCTCGCCCCGGCGCCGCTGCTCGCGGTAGTCCGGCCGCGGCGGCTGCGGGGGGCTCTTGGTCTTGCTGTTGCCCAAGCTGAAGTACTTGTTCAGCCACTTGGCCATGGCGAGAGGCCGCCTAGGGCCGCGGCGCGGGAGCCCGGTCCGCCGCCGCGGCCATTCGGAGAGCAGCGCTGCGGCCCAGGTCCCTCGGCGCCCCGGCCCCGGCGGGGGGCGTCCGGGGCGCCCGCTCCCGACGCCAAGTTCAAGTTCTCTCCGCCGCCTCCTGCCGGCGGATCCTGGCCTCCAGCAGCTGCAGCACCGCCCTCCGCCTCTGCCGTGCGCCGCCCCGGCTTCGGATCTCTCGCCCCTCACGGGCGCGTCTCATGGGATCCCGGCCCGCCGCCCCGCAGAGAGCGAAAGGCCCGGGCGCCCCGTCTGGGACACTCTGGCTGTGCGCTCCGCCGCGGAGCGCGCTCCTGCCGGGTCGGAGCCGCAGCCTCCGCCTGGGCCGGGATCTGCGGCTGCTGCGGGAACTTGTCGGCGTCCTCAGCCCCCCTTCTTCCTTCCCAAGAGCGCTGGGGGAAGCCCGGCCCCACAGCCGGCGAGCAAGCGGGAGGGAGAGCGGACGAGCGACGGAGGAAGGCAGCCAGCGCCCGCCCGAGCCGCGCGCCGGTGCCCGTCCCGGCGGCGCCTGCCGCTGCTGCCTCCGCCGCCTCCCGAACCGCCGCGTGTGTGACACCCCGGCCGCCAGAGCCCGCCCCGCGCCGCGGCCCCGCCCTCCCCGGGCCTGCGCGCGCCCGGCCCCCGCAGGCCCCGCCCCGCCCACCCCCACGAGCCAGGCCGCCGGACCGCGAGCCCAAGCCCCGCCCTCCTCGTGCCCGGGTCTTCGGCAGGCGCAACTCTCCACCTCAGCACGCGCCGCCACCCGCGGCCGCTTAGGCGCCAGCCCCGGGGTGGCGCCTGAGGGCACCGGGGTCCCGCGGCGCTGACGGCTCCGCCTCGCTCGCGGCCCGCCGCCGCCTGGGGCGTGAGGTTGCCAGCCGGGGCCCGCCGCGCTCAGAGGCCAGACCGCTGGCTTCTCCGGGTGCCGGCGCGCTGCGCACCTCAGAGACCCACTGTTGGGGGGACCGCTGGGGGTGAATTATCCCCGGACATTTCTAGTTTACAGCATGACCCGCACGAGGGAAGTGCAGCCCGGGACCCCTTGGGACAGGGTCCCCAATCCCCTTCTTGAAGGGACAGACACTCCGGTTCAGCCCCCACGCGCCACATCTTCGGAGGAGTCTCTATGCTAAGGAGCTTGTTAGCACTCCGGGTGACGGCTGCGGCCGGGAGGGGCGGCGGGCTGGCGCGGCACCAATCGCGGCGCCAGGCCCAGGGGACGCCGGACGTTGGTTTACCTTCTCACCTCTGAGGAAGTCTGGGCTTTAACCCCGCGCCCTGCCAACCTGAGGACCAAAGGAGGGCCACCCAGGTGGGCTTGACTGCCACCTCCCAGTCTGGTGTCATCTCCACTAGTCTCTACTTTGCAATTTAAGATCGTCCTTTGATTATTGACTAAAGCCGAGGAAACTGAGGCCGAGGGAGGGGACCAGCTTGCCCGGTGAAGCTTCTGAGAGGCGCCAGAGGAGCTGCCTGGAAACGAGGTAACTGCCCCAAGAGCCGGTGGTCCTTTGAGTTTGGCCGCCAAGCCCCAGAGTATGATTAACTCTGAGGTGTGAGGACTGAGACCCGAAGTCGGAGGAATTCTCTAGGAAAGCTGACTTATTAGGACAATAGCCCAAATTATTAATCATCTCTACTTGCTACCTCTGTACGACTAGATGGACTTTGGGAGAGTTTTTTGTTTTTTGTTTTTTTCTATATCCTATAGGAAAAGTGGGACCTGTTAGGGCAGGTGGAAGGCCAGAGGCTTTTTTGGCCAGGTCACAGCCCTGGTCGTGCAGGAGGTGGAGGTCCCATTGGCAGTCTGAGAGCTGTCGCCTGCTCGCTGCCTGAGGCCACAATAGGACAGTGGCAGAACCGACACTCCAACTTGGATCCCCTAAAGGCTGTGCTCTGGCCACTCAGCCGCACACAGGGATGTAATGCAATTGACTGCAAATCATCCCTTCAGGATCAAGCCATTTGCTCTTTCCCTTTTTGGTCAGACAGGACCGTCATCCTCTATGAGCCAGTTAAATTTTTTAAACCCACCATTATAACCCACCCCGCACCCCCAGTCATAAACACCACCTATGCAGCCCCTTCATTGCCCGAGATGTACCTACTTGAAATTTCTCAGGAAATAATCTGTGAATGTGTGTGTATGTTTGTGATGTGTCTGGGGGATGGCGGAAGACCCAGACATTGACTTGGGCTAAGATGTTTATTTTGGGTAACCCTAAACTTAAATATCTCAAATTATCCTTTAAATCACTCCTCTGCTATATCTGCTGTATAAACACTTAATTATTGTGCAAGTAAGGGAGGCCCACACAAAGAAACCCCGAAAGGCAAGGACATCCTTCTTATAAGTCCCACCTTTCAACCAAACACAAATCCTCTCTGGCTCCCTCCCCCTCTCATTTAAATGGCTTGTAGGCTCAGAAGGGAGGAGCAGCCAGATTCTGGCAACGGGCCAAGCCACTCAGGACAAGAAAGTCCTCTCCAGGATCTGGAAACTTGTTGCCTACATGTGGGTTGCACATGGAAAAATTATCTCTGCCTTTAGGTTTAGGAAGAGAAGTTATATTTCACAACTTATTTTTTCCATTTCACTTTCAGCAGACCATGGGGTTAGACCCGCTTTTCCATGTGATGCCTCTGCTGGGGTATAATTTGCAAGCCAAAAATTATTGTAATGCTATAGTATTATGCCAAGAACTTCCAGAGCACTTGTGTATCTGCTCAACCCCAACACATTCTGTATATAATTAACCCTAGTCATCAGCCCTGCAAGTTGGTGTTATTCCCAGTTTACAGATGGGGTAACTGGACTAAGGTAGTATTTACTTTAAGCACTCAAAAACATATAAGTGTTTTCTTTTGAGAACTAATGTAGACACAACTTAAAGGACAGAGTCAGAAATAATCATTCTGAAAGGAAAGAGAAGTTTCCTAAACACGATGTTGGGGAAGTAGTATGTCAAATGGTTCAAGGAGACAGGAACTTGTAGGGAAAGGATCAGAGCACTATAGGGGGTTAGAGCTAAACAGACTCTTCTTTCAGAGAGCCAGCCACCCCATTTCACAGAGGGAAAACAAATGACTGAAGGGAAGCCATTGAATTCAGAGGCACATCTGGGGTTGGTACCCAGTCTCTTGATATCACAAACCCAACACTATGCCTGTCATTGACATTTTTTACTTTTAGCTCTCCCATCCCCACCAACACTTATTCCCGATTTACTTAATGGAAGGGTTGGATATGATCCTGTTTTTGTTTCTGCCCTGTCTCAACTTCTCACTTCAGGCCAAATTGGGGACGTGGCAGCTCTTTTCATCCTCCTTCTGGTATCTGGAAGTAGCAATGTCGTTGATAGAGGCCTGGAAAAAATGATGCCACCAACCCAACAGACTCCTCTACTTCTTTCAGTTCAGGCCATCAAATGTTAATGTCAGTCTCCTGCTGTGAGCCAGGCCCCAGGGCAGGAGTCTGGCCTGGAAGCATAAATTTGGGAGCCAGTAGTGCTCTGAGAAGACCTGAGGCAAAACCTTCAGTCATCCTTGACACCTCCTTTCATCCCTGCTCCATCCAAACCTTCAGCCAGGAATATCCTCCACTGCTTCCACCCCAGTCCAACACTCCATCTCTTGCCTGGATCTTCAGAGGCATCTGTTACCCATTTCCCTGCTTCTGTCTCAACACAGCAGCCAGTGATCCTATTAAAACTGAATCTGAGTTATGTCCCTCCTCTTCTCAAATCTCTCATTAAATCCCCATGTCTCTGAAAGTAAATGCCAGAATTCTTATAGGGGCCCACAAGGCCTTATATGACCTAGTCCCCTGAAATTCCTGACTTCATTTTGTACTGTCCTCTCTCCTGCTCCAATCAGGCTGCCTCTTGCTGGTGTTTCTTGAACACTCTCTCACCTTGGAACCTTCCTACTACATCTCCTCTGCCTGGAATGCTTTCTCCCAGCTGTCCACATGGGTCATCCTTCATTCCCTTCAGGTCTGTATTTAAATGTCACATGCTCAGTGAGGCCTCCCATGGGCACCATTTCTAGAATTGTCTCCCCACTCAACACTTCCTATCCTTCCCTGCTTTATTTTTCCAATAATCACTCAACTCCATTTCATACACAGTGTATTTTACTTATTTTTGTTTGTTTATTCTTTGTCTTGCCCCACAATGGGAAAGGGATCTTTTATTTGCTGCATATCTCCAGTGTCTAGGACACTGCCTGACACCTAGTAGGTACACAATGAATATTCGTTCAAGTGAACAAATGAATGTGAGTGAGGGATCACTAAGGGTAGAATGGCAGAGCTGAAGCTTGACGTCTCTGACCTGGTGCTAGAGGCTATTAACTTTGACCTGGAGGTGGGAGCATATCAGATTTGCTGCGTTTTTGAAACTGGTGTGTTCTTGTGTTCTGTTCCCAGGCTGTGTCTCTGAAGCGGAGGAAGCAGAATGAGGTTTATGCCTGTCTTCCAGCATCTGAAGGGGGTTCCAAGAAGGTTGTGGCATCCAGGTAGCCCTCTTCCACAAGAGTCCCAGTCATGCTGAAATACAAGCCTGTCTGCATGTCACTGAGCCAGCTCTATTCTCTCCACCTCGGGTACAACTAATCTTAGGAATCTCATTATGGGTCGAAAGATAATCCTCTATATCTAGATTAAAGGCTGTGTTTTGACCATTACTGCACATTGAGCACTGAGCCGACAGTTTAATTGAACTGTTTATGCCGCTGCCTTGATCTCTTCCCAGAGAATTTACAACTAATTCTGAGTGTCTCTGCGAATTAAGTGGGCCTCTCCCAACATGCTTTGCCCGTAGTTTCCCCGTGCCAAATCCCACTTGTCCTTGTGTTACCCAATTATAGACTCTTGCTCACGACTATCTCCGCCGGTACCACTTCCAGTCTACTTCCTCCCTGAGGTGGCCATTAAAGATAGAACTCTGAGAATGGCCACATCCTAGGATAGCCTCTGTGATACCTGCAGCAGTGGAAAGGGGGTGGAGGTGAGGATTGGCATGGGAACAAAGAGAACATAAATCATACTGATTCCTTTGAAGTCACCTCCAGGCAACTGACAATGACCTCCTAACAAGAAAAGGTACAAGTGTCTTTAGCACGGTTAAGTGTGATGGAAGGAAAAGAGCTCTGGACTGAGGTCAAGACTCCTGGGTTCTTATCCTGGCTGTCTTCTGACTTCCTATGTGACCTGTGAGGCCTGCTGTTACTATTTATAAAATAGGAGCTGGCAGATCATTGTTTCTCATTCTGTGTTATGGAAATGTCTAAGGGTAGGGTTGCCAAATTTAGAAAAAACAAAACAGTAGCAAAAAAGGACATCCATGCAATATTTGGGACATACTTACTGTGAAATATTATTCATTGTTTATCTGAAATTCAAATTTAACTGGTGTCCTATATTTATCTGTCCATGTGGGAGATAAAAAAGGCTCCCAACCCCTAGCCCAGCCTCTACTAATGAAATGGACAAGAGCAGATGTTCTTAACTCTGGATGAACATTATAA